AGCAGCGGAGAGGGGCTCTGGCCTGGGAAAGGTCTGGGCGGGGGCAGCGGGGGCTGAGCTGGTTGGGCCGAGTGTCCGAGCGTCTGTTCCCGTGTGTGACTGGTGCTGGCGCTGGGCGCTTTCTTGCAGGCGGCCCTTCAGGGGCTCATTGGATTGGCGGGAGGACTTTGAGCGGGAGTTACGGTATTTTTGATACCATATTGTTTTTGTTGACCCCCTTTTCCACTTACAGAGCTAGGTTATTGTTTTTCTTTGAAATAAATATTCATGTAATTTTATTGGTATCTATCTTCATTTTTTACATTTCCCAGTAGCTGCCTCATTTCCTACCCTAGGCTTATACTCGGGTCAATATTTTTTCCCAGTTCTTTGTGGTAAAATTAGGTGCCTCGGCTTATATTCGGGTCGGCTTATACTTGAGTATATACGGTATTTCAAAACAGAGCACTCTTCCTTCGATTTCCCTTATTCCTCGTACAATGAGGCTATGTCTACACTGCAAGCTTCTTGTGCAAGAATGGCTGTTCTTGCGCAAAACCTTGCAGAGCGTCCAAACTACAAGCCCATCTTGTGCAAGAAAGTTTACAGTAGATCGTCAGAAGAGAGGGCTTTTTGCGCAAGAGTTATTCCTCTTGCCATGAGGAATAAGCCTTTTTGCGTAAGAGCTCTTGCTTAAAAAGGCTATGTGTGGATGGCAAACAGGAGTTTCCTGTGCAAAAAGAGCCTATTGGAAAAAGCACAGGTGCTCTGGTGGCCATTCTGTTAATGACAATCAGAGCTTTCTTGCGCAAGAGTGTCCATGCAGTGTGGACGCTCTCTTGCGCAAGAACTTTTTGCGGAAGATCTCTTGAAAATAGTGTCAAAATCCTGTCAAGCTGGAAGACTTACTCTGAGGGTATGTCTACACTACCCCCCTAGTTCGAACTAGGGGGGGTAATGTAGTCATACAGAGTTGCAAATGAAGCCCGGGATTTGAATTTCCCGGGCTTCATTTGCATAAAGGCGGCCAGCGCCATTTATAAATGCCAGCTAGGTCGGACCCTGTCTTCCTAATCCGAACTAGCTACTCCGTGCCGCGTGTAGGCGCGCGGCACGGGATTTGAACTGCCGGCATTTAAAAATGGTGCCGACCGGCTTTATGCAAATGAAGGCCGGGAAATTCAAATCCCAGGCTTCATTTGCAACTCCGTATGACTACATTACCCCCCCTAGTTCGAACTAGGGGGGTAGTGTAGACATACCCTCAGAGTAAGTCTTCCAGCTTGACAGGATTTTGACACTATTTCAAAATAATTGCCTGCCGTGTATACGCAGACTAAGTTATTTCAGAATAGTGCTAATTATTTCCAAATAGTGTTGCAGTGTAGATGTACCCATAATCTGGACCAAGGGATGTCAAACTGATGCATATTGAACCCTAAATTCACATATAAATATTTTTACTCCAGAAAAGTAGGCTATTCACTTATAAGCTACATCTACACTGCAAGCTTTTTGCGCAGGAACTCCTGTTCTTGCGCAAAAGCTTGCAGAGTGTCTACACTGCACATGCATTCTTACGCAAGTAAATTTACAGTACAGTGTCGGAAAACAGGGCTTTTTCTGGAAGAGTTATTCCTCTCTCCACGAGGAATAAGCCCTGTTGCGCAAGAGCTATTTCACAAGAAGGCAGTGTAGACAGGCAACTTGAATTTCTTGTGTAAGAAAGCCCTATGGCTAAAATGGCCGCCACAACTTTCTTGCTCAAGAGAGCGTCCACACTGCCATAGACTCTCTTGCGCAAAAGCACATGGCAGTGTGGACACGCTCTTGTGATAGACCTTTTGCACAAGAACTCTTCTTCAAAACAGTTCTTGCGCAAGAAGCCTGCAGTGTAGATGCAGCCATAGAGTTTCTAAACCATCATATCCTAAAGAAATGTTCAGAAGAGTTCTTATGCAGGAAAAAGTGAATGATGTGTGGAGGAAGGGTTTGGTTTTGCATTACTGAAAACTACAAATGCTTCCCAAAAGCACTCAACCTAACATATCAAACAATAATGAATAAACTTATTCTTAATTATATGGGTCTCCTGGGTATTTTCAAGCATTCACTTTTTTTGTTTTGTTTTTACAGTGCTGGAAAGAATGTGGACAACAGCCAAAGCTCTCCTGCTAACGTCTAGTAGTAATTGTACTTCGCTACATTTACATGTCATGGAAATACGAACTGATCTGGGAAGCAATGATTATGAGACTAAATTGCATCTGTTACAATTAATGCCGTTTAGTAACTATTGTAATTATAAATGATGACAAAGGGAGAACTTTTACAAATGATAGGTTTGAATATCAAGGAAAGAGGCGCTTGATGGATTGAATATCGTCAGAGACAGATCATATCGGAGGTAATTAATTAAAATAGAAAGAGGTTTAGAATAGGAGCCTGTGGAATACTATAATTAAAATAACTATTAGCATGGAGAAAATGGAGATGCCAAGGGGGTTGATAAACTAGCCTGAAAACCTAAGACAAGAATATGGTCTGCAACAAAAAAGGGACTGTAATTTATGTGCCCAAAATTCAGCAGAGGAAAAGCAGGGGAAAGCAGTAGCTGATCCCTACCTACTGCTTAAACATATATTCACACATGTGGCTACGTCTACACTGGCAAGATTTTGCACAAATACTTTCAACACAAGAGTTTTTGCGTTAAAATTATTTGTGCAAAAGAGCGTCTACGCTGGCATGTGCCTTTGTGCAAGAGATGTGCTTTTGTGCAAAAGCATCCATGCCAGTGTAGACGCTCTCTTGCGCAAGAAAGCTCCGATGGCCATTTTAGCCATCGGGCTTTCTTGTGCAAGAAATTAACGTTGCCTGTCTACACTGGCCTCTTGCGCAAGAACAGTTGCGCAAGAGGGCTTATCCCTGAGCAGGAGCATCAGAGTATTTGCGCAAGAAGCACTGATTTTATACATTAGAATGTCAGTGTTCTTGTGCAAGTACTCGCGTCCAGTGTAGACAGGTGGCAAGATTTTATGCAAAAGCGGCTGCTTTTGTGCAAAATCTTGCCTATGTAGACACAGCCACATTGTATGAACAAATAAGAGTTGGTCTGGTGCAGATCTCTCAAATGCATACTGAGGCCTAGAACACAATTCAAAAATATTTCCAAGGTGACAGTTTTATGTTAGCAGAGCACTCACAGCAGCCAGCACGTGTTTCTACGGGTGGTGCACTTCTGTAAATGCCTCGATGCACATAACAAAATGTATTCCACACATGGATGGAAAAAAATTACTAGCAACACTGGACAGGGCACTTTTAAAATAACTCCAGGGTCAATACATCAAAGTGTGAGTGCCTATACTTTTGTGACAAAGTTATTGCAGCAGCTGCTGTTAAGGCTGTTGGAACAAGCTGCTACTCAAGGGATTAGTTCCTGGTCCAAAATCACTTCCCTATTCCAGCTGGTAGGGGCTTGAAACAATATAGAGACCAGAATAGTGCAACTCATCTCAAGTTGATACACAGAGCAGAGAATCTGGCCCAGTGACTTAGGCAGTTTTGTGCTGCCTTAGTGCCACAAAATAACTTTAAAACTGTCTTGGTGAGGATGCAGCCCCCTATAACAGGGAATCACTGGGTAGCATATAGCCAGTGCAACAAATTCTATATTGCCCACCCCCCTCTACTGGCACTACAGGGCAGAGAAGTATCAAGAGCATGGTGTGTGGCTGATCCTGGGCTGTTGAAGCAGTAGCTGGGATAGGAACAGCTCCACAACACAGTGCCAGTCTTTAGTAGTTATGTCCAGTCACTACGGAAATATTGGTGCCACATGGCCCCAGATCCTGAAAGAACCTCAAAGAACCTGACTTGCATTGAAATTAACAGGAGTTATGTAGGAGCCTGAGGATCTGGATTATAGGAACTTGGAGTAAAAAGGTAAAAATGGAAACAAAATATAGGAATGAAATGTATTACTAACAATCATTCTAAATTAGACAGTTCAAATCCAGTGTAACCCAACAAGCCTAGCAGAACAAGCAGCAGATTTGCCTTGTAAGGGACATGGTTTAAGGAAAGTGCTGTTTGGTAGTCTTCCCTATGGGAGACAACACAATAACAGAGAAGACTAGCTGGTGAAGTTCAGCTTTCAAACAACTTACCTGCTCTGCAGCAGCTACTTGCAGCTACAGTTTGCCTCGTTATTTCCACTGCATTTTTCTGTTAAAAAAATATTTAAATTTTATTTTTTATTGTCAAATTAAAATAGTGTAAGGGAGGAGGGAATAATTCGAAACTTGTGAAGATGTTGAAATTATTTTTTTAGAAAAATGTTAACATTTTCTATGTGACACATAAAGTTATGGGTGTACATTTAAAAGTGAAATTACCAAATGAATTGGGGATTTTGCTTCTGAAATGGGAGCTGGGCAGGGAGAAGCCATTTCATATCAAGATAATAATGCAGCTTAGAGATCTCAACACTTCAGAGGTACAAAGTTGAAGGTAATTTGACAGGACACGTAGAGTCTATGCTAGCAGAGGCATGGATGAAGGCTCATTTTCTTGTCAAAAAAACGGAGTATAACTTAACTTAAAATGTCTATTAAACAACAAGAGCCCATCAAATCCCCCACCCCTAAAACAAACAGACAACCCTCCTTCCAAATCTTGTAGCATCTGCTAGTGTTAGAAAATCTCACCTTAGCTGAACAATGTGACCAAGAAATTCAGAGAGAGCTTGAATGCTACCTCTAGCCTGGAAGATGTCTTTGTCTCAATAAGACAGATGTGAGGATATGTTGATGGCAGTATTTTCTTTTTTAACAAAAAACAGCAAAAGGAATTGAAAATTCACCCTTTCACAGATTTCAAAGTCAGAAGGAACTATTATTATCCAGCCGAACCTCCTGTATCACCCAGGCCCTAGAATTTTCCTAGAGTTATTCTTAGGGATTGTTTTTTAGAAAAATATTTAATCTTGATTTAAAAATTGCCAGCAACCAAGACTCTACCCTGGCCCTTGAACAGGTGTTCCAATGGTTAATTACTCTCAATGTTAAAAACTTACACCTTATTTCCTGTCTGAAATTGTCTGGCTTCAACTTCTAGCCGCTGGATCAATGTGATACCTTTCTTTGCTAGACTGAAGAGCCCATTATAAATATATATATATATATATATAGTAGCCCAC